TCGCTTGGTAGTAGATAAACCCGCCTAAAGCTAATAACAAATTCACACTTCTTCCACAGTCCAAGATACCCGCAGAGATGCATCGAGTGGAAGCATTGGTTCACTATTTGGGATTATTGGAAATAATAGCTCGTGATCAAAGTTAATTTGTTTTTAGCCCTGGTGTGTCAGGCTGAGATTAATATATTCTATAATTATAGGAAATAAAGTATCGAAATGCACAAGATGTTCCCATTGTTACACATAACCCAAAAGTCCATATTTTTAAAAGAGTTAACTTAAAATTTGAGGATAGCAAGGGTAATATATTCATAATTTCAATGCCTATTATTTCAACCTCGCATTCTCTTAGATAAGTTTTCTCGAGTTTATATTTGATTTAGAAACTGAATATCACCAGAACCCAAATAAATATATGATGTTGACAACAGAGTGGCATTATGGTAATGTATTCCACCTTAATAACTGTGCCTTCCTTGTCAAGAGCATATCGACGCTCTATTTAAATTATACCGGGGTCTTGTTTGACCTTACATTATAATATCTCAATGGAATTTGTGTAACCTTGAATCGAAATGCAGACTCTTAAAGCAAACTCCTCAGACCAAGCTTTGACTGTCTTTCAGTGATGTGCGTAAAGTCTAAAAAATTATTAAGAACAGTATGTCAGATTGGGGGCCTGTCGGTAACGGTATTGTGGTCGTTATTAAGTAATCAGGGGCTTGAAATCCCGCATGTAAATGTCAATCTTTCTAGTCCGAAGACTTTCAGAGGTGGGTGAAAATTGTAAAGTTGGGACCAAAGTCGAGGACAAGTAGGAGTGATTCCATTTACACGTTTTGCGAAATGTAGTTGGCGGATCTACGCCATCTGGGTCGGCTTGTAAGCATCACGCTTACACCAAGCCAGGAAAATCCCTACAATATGACGTAACCAGGGGGTGTTTAGTTACACGTTGCATCTAGGTCCGTATGAATGAATCCTTGAACATTTGCTGGAAAACTGTAAACAGTGTATAGTCATGTAAATATGACGGATACGCATTTGCCAGAGACCGCACTTTCGAAGGTAAAAGCTGATATTGATGCAGCACTGGACAGCAATCTTGGCATCAACCTTATACTTCTAGTCTAAGTGCGGCATTTGATATCATCGACCATAGCATTCTGTTCAATCGACTGCAGTTATCTGTGGAAATCAAAGGATCTGCGCTGGATTTGTTGAAGTCCTATCTAACTGTGTCCATATTCACAGCAGCAGCTCTGTAACTAAACCGCTGTGCATTGGAGTCCCACTGTATGTTCTTCCACTTGGGGAAATTATTAATAAACATGGTATCAGCTATCATGGTTTTGCCGATGATACGCAATTGTATAACACATTCATTCCTTCAGACCAGATGTCAATGCACGATCCCCTAAAGAGACTAGACTCGTGTATCAGTGATATTCGGACATGGATGAATTAAAATAAATTAAAGCTGGACGATGAGAAGACAGAATTCCGGGTGATATTACCAAGTTCAAAACTGAAAAAGTTTCAACTTTTCAGCAAAGCTAAACATCGGCGATAACGAAATTTCACCACCATCATGTAAAGCACGAAATCTAGGTTTCATCATGGACAAGACAATGTCTCTCATCCCACAGGTCAACAATACTATGTGTAAAATGCACATGAGATTAAAACCAATATCCAGAATCAGGAGGTATCTCACTAAAGATTCATGTGCTAGAGTTGTATTAGCATTAATCATATCTCAGTTGGACTATGGAAATGGACCCCCTGGCTGGCATTCTAGATTTCTCCCGCAACCTTCTTCAAGTTGTACAAAATAACTTGCTCGACTAGTTGCCAAGTCATCTTCTAGAGATCATGTAACAGAAACTCTCAAAAGTCTTCATTGGCTGCCTGTAAAAGCCCGCATCGACTATCAAATGTGTATAAAGCTTTGTTTTCGGATACTGCTCCCTCCTACATGAAACAATTATTCACATTCTACAAACAGGAAAGACCAAATCTCCGTTCGTCCACGGATAATACCTTATTATCTGTGCCTGCTTACAAGAGACTCGGGGAAAATTATCTTTCCCTTTAAATGGTACCCATATGTGGAATAAGCTAACAAGAACAATTAGAGAAAGTTCAACTTTTGTTAAATTTAAATCGGAGTCAAAAACAAACTTGTCTAAATATTATTACAAACTGTGATGTGACATTTGTTAAGCGCTTAGAAATATCACCGGATATAACGAAGCGCTATAGAAGATGAATAATAATAATAATAACATACTTTGCACACGTTTTCCTAGATGTAACCAACTGTCATTTGGAAATGAAAATATCGCTTATTTTATTCACTGGTACCACCTGATCGTGCAGGTAAGCCAAGGTAAGTTTTATATAAAATTGGAACACGCGGTGATAAAAGACACAATGAAAAAATATTTGGTTTTCATGTCCTGATTTTGCCATATGTTATGCTGTTTTAAATGACGTATGATCAAATCTATATGTCCTCAATTTTAACTCACGAGACAAGTCGGATGGGTCTTTTTTTTAATGTAAAATCCATAAATTTATCTAGGGCCTACTTACCTCAACACTACCTACAATTCAGGTCGTGTATCTTATTATTCACATTATAATATTTCAGAATTAAACCGTATTGTTAAATGCCATGTCCTTTGAATAACCCTTTGTGCAGTTCATTGCTTTCATAATGATAAGTGATGTTATTCATATTAAAGCAGTGAAAATAAACATTAAGGCGGTGGAAGTTTTAAGTACACTTTATGGTTGATACACCAACCTAATGAACTATATTATGGCAATACTTCAAAATGATTGTGCAAGGATTGGTTTCTAGTTTCATTTGGGAGTCAACAGAACAAGACAAAAAGGGTGGTAGTGGAAATTCAGCATACCGGTTATTTTCTCCATCATCATCTGCCCTGGTGATCAGGAATACAAGGCTTTAAAACGGCATTTTAATTTTGCACTACAAAACCATCTATCATTAAATTTGAAAAGCAGTTGTGATACTTTTAAGACAGCTGTTTAAGTAAAACATGCACAAAATCGGGAAGACATAAGTTAAGAGTTTATTTCTTTAACAATGCTCAGTGATAAAGAGGTGAGTTTTAATCTCCACTCAACACAAAATATGTCATTTAGGAACTTGGAGCATGTCCCCGATAAGGAAACATAACCGACAAAAGTAATTATATAAATGTCGCCCAATAACAAACATTAAAGATGAAAATGGCAGACGGTACACCGACACATTATGTATTCAGCTTCAGTGATTCAAATGTTGAGACGGATCAGGGCTGCATTTATATGTGCCTTAAAGAGAAAGGCCAGCCCATCCCCTACACCAGAAATATGTTCTCGAAGAGAGAACTGATGTCATTGGGAACCAAATTATTGACAAAAAACAGTACCGTTTTGTCTTATCCAGTACTCGATTGTAATAAAAAAATTGCCAGGTCATTATGCAGTTAAATATTCACTTACTTCATCAGCTTTGTTTAACATATTTGGTATTCAATAAACACGAAGTTATTGGCTCAGCAAGTACATTTTTCTTCACATTTGTTGTGACACCTTCAGTAAGATTAAGTTTTTAATTATCTCATTTTCAATCATATGTATGGAAATTTATTCGGTGAATCGACATAACAAGACTGAAAACGGGATTATAAATTTTTATCCGTACCCGAAGTAATACAAATACATGTTTTTATTAGAAATATTTTATACTCTTGGTTTTAGTAAACCACGCTGCAATCTTATTTAATGACCGGGTATTAAGGTTTGCTATCAATCGATATAATATTCTTTTTATATTAGTAAAAAGATACATACATACATCGTAATAGAATATAACGCCAGGTTTACGAAATCAAGACATAAAATGAAGCAATGTTTTGTACTTAATGTTTTGCCATTAAAGCAAGCGATTAAGATGTTCACACAAGAGTTTATGGGCCTTCTAGAATTTTCATACGTGTTGCTCTTAAGATTACAAAGAGTTTACATGTACGCTTTCTATTTTCTTTCGTGATTCCTAACTCTTACTGATAGCTTTCACTAATCTTGTGTCGTAGACTCAGTGAATGCATCGTTGTATCTTTATCTTGATAAATGATTCAGACGGGAAGTGGCTTACGTGAAGAAGAATTTTTTATGTGGAGATATAAGGTTTGGATTTGTATCTTGTGTCGTCCGTCCGCCATGTCGTCGGTTGTTTGCAACTTAAATTCGTATACAATATCCACGATATAGCAGGAAAGGGGGTTGGTCATATTTGTTTTTTTGTGGACGAAACTTCAAAAACTTATCATATATCAAGTTAAAGGTAATTCCTAACCGATTGGATTGTACGAATCGCCTCATTTTGTTTGTTTGTTTTTTAAATGTTAAAGGTCTTGACAAAACTATCACTATTCAGTGTTGTGTTGTGCTTTATGAATTTACAAGATAATCTATTGGGTAAAATTTACAGTATAAAATCTACTGAAACTTGATAACAATATCCAGCTATTAGACGTACGTGTACAGAGATTAGCATATTCTCATCATACCCTTAATAACAATCAATCTCGTTTTTATTTTAATAATAAAAAGTAACTAGTATGTGCTGTCTGATATCTGTGACTCAATTAACAAGAAATTCTGATGTTATTGATTTATAAATGATCATTTAATTGTCTGGTATGCTCATGTTAGGAACTGCACATAGGTATAGTGGATCGATACTCAAGTAAATACCGTTTTAAGTTTTAACACCTGTTACGACCATCGAACACTTTGCTTCTGTATTAATCGATGAGGAAGGGAAGCTTGCTGACAAAACTCATAATGTTGAGTATAAAATCCAAATAGAAGACTGTCTTGTCTTGCCTCGCGATGATCTTATTGACGTGATAAGCAGTTGTCGAAACTGAAGTATAGTCAAGAACACAAACATTAATTGACAACTGAAAACTGGAGCCGTTCTGATAAGAAAGACGCCGCATATTAAGATGTTGTTTGAAGTTTCTAGAAATCTTATTTGGGAGAAGGATGCTTTGCAAATAGAGCAATTGATGTTTTAAGAGAAAAAATGTTCTTACCTGGGTATTAGTAATTAAGGTAAGTTATTGATGAGCTTTAATAATTAAATTTCGAGTAACAACATATTATAAACTGTATCTTTAAATTACACTAATTGGATTAAAAACAAACAATTATACGCATATTTTAATATTTAGCAGCATCATAGTAATGTTCATTAGTCTTTAAAAATCAATGGTTTTAAGTTGAAGTGGGTCGTTTTGCGTTCTACTCGTAATTGGCTTTGTGACCTGAGGATATGGTTACAGGTTATGCGAGTACATTTGGACCGTTGCGGAAACCCTTAGATTTTATCAATTTTTTTAAGGGAATGGTCATTTATTAACATTTGAAAGTTAAATGAGTAGAAGAATAGGTTTTCACACCAGTCCAGCCTTCAAATATTAACACGTTGTTAGAATTTTCCATGGTCAAAATATAGTTTGAGCAGTGGGTATACTGGAAATATTAAATCTGTAATAGAATTTTATATGGGAATAATGTTAACACGGCACAACATAACCTACAGTCAAATGGCCTCAATTAACACCTTTGTTCAAACACCCACAGTTATCACATAATTGTCCTTTGTAACAACATGATTACCGATGGACAGTGTTATTTGGGAGGGGGGGGGATCTAACGCGTGCGCTTTAGATGATAATGTTTCGCCATTAAGTCAAGTTGGGTGGTTTCGATTCAACACTTGGAGGTGACAAACCAACATCGTGTGTTTTCTCCGGGTCCTCCGGTTTCCCCCCACCTGCTAAAGATCCCTACGCACAATCTAAATATTGGAATATAAATTGTACCCTTTTTAGTCCCGAAATGACTTAATTAGTATCTCATGTTTGTTTCAAAATGCGTAGGATTGATATTACCCTATATTAATATATTTAACCTGAATATATAGTCTGTCATGTAGGCAGGTGATGTGGGTTTGATCTCACATTACCCCCACCCCTCCTCTCAGAACAATACTCGTGATTAAAATATTCTATTAAACAAACCTCACGGGCTTTCATGTCTAGTAATGGTATAAAATATAATACTGATGTGAGATTAGCTGGTGTCTGGACATCTTAAATCCATTGATGTCACAACATTGTAGTCTCTATTCGAACAGAATTCTGTGTATGTTTCATGCCAGAAAGTCTCGACTTGCCGAAATTAAGAGTCTGTTTCCGTTATATGAGAGGGAGAGAGAGGGGGGGGGGGGGTTAACGTCCACGTTTCGGGACTTGCATATAGTTTAATTTTATTGCAATAATTCGCTTGCGCGTAGCGCTCTTTAGCAGTGGGAGGAAACGTTATATGGAAGCGTATTCTTCAACTTTTACTCGAGCTTACAATCTGAATGAAGATATAAGCGACTCACTCTGTTGGTTTACTATACTGCCATAACCCTAGTTCCTCTTCAAATCAAGAGCAACGATACTCTTGTCGGTTGACTAGCTAGAATGCTCCGATTAAGGTAAAATTTAGCAGCATCCACAGTCTGCTGAAAATGGGTTTATAATGCTTAATATTTTGCCTGATAAAATTGATATTTCGAATTTTAGCTAATGATTCTTGAGATATGGCCTGTTCAATTTTAGTGATTTCGAATACGTCATTTCAAGGTCATCTGGGCCTCCAAGGTCAAAGTAAAAGTCAAACGGCCATAACTCTTTAAATAACCCTATGTAAAAATTAATGACAGATTTGGAATCTTTTCCAACATAACCCATTTCGGAACATCTCACCATAGGCCAAATCTTAGGTCAGATTAAGCTAAACTTTGATGTTGAGGCTTTTCCATTCAAAATAAAAACGAGTGGGGAGGGGGGAGTACGGTTAAATGCGGAATGGCTCAGTTCAGAGCGTTAGGGCACTTGTCACCATTCTTAGCATTAATCTTTGATACACCCACTGATAGGCCATCTGAATAAATATTCCCATTAGGCAGTGTGAAGTTAACTTGATTTTCGTTTTTCGATATTGGTGAATAACGAAAAACGAGTAGCTCGTTTTTCGATATTGGCGAATAACGAAAAACAACAAGCTCGTTTTTCGATATTGGCGATTGAATCTCGTTTTTCGATATTCAAACTTGAATCTCAAAAAAGTAGATTCCCCAATACATCCATCAAATCTGCTTTTTTGAGATTCAAACCTGAATATCAAAAAACAAGTAGAAAGAGTAGTTTTTATGTGAATCCACTGCTCAGGCATCCTCATTAATGATATCTTTAGCTCATTTTACAAAACTGATTGAATCAAATGTGTTTTGGAGACATTCACTCGATGTACATCCATCAAATCTGCTTTTTTGAGATTTAAGTTTGAATATCGAAAAACAAGTTGCTCGTTTTTCGACATTCGCTAATATCAAAAAACAAGGATAAATATTAGTTTTATGTGAATCCACTGCTCAGGCATCCCCATTTATGATATCTTTAATTCATTTTAGAAAACGTATTTAATCAATGTGTATTGGAGATATTCTGTAGATATACATCCATCAAATCTGAATATCGAAAAACGAGTATTCGCCAATATCAAAAAACAAGTAGAAAAAGTAGTTTTTATGTGAATCCACTGCTCCGGCATCCTCATTAATGATATCTTTAGCTCATTTTACAAAACTGATTAAATCAAATGTGTTTTGGAGACATTCTGTCGATATACATCCATCAAATCTGCTTTTTTGAGATTCAAACCTGAATATCGAAAAACGAGTAGCCCGTTTTTCGACATTCGCCAATATCAAAAAACAAGGAGAAATATCAGTTTTATGTGAATCCACTGCTCAGGCATTCTCATTTATGATATTTTTAGTTCTTTTTAGAATACTTATATAATCAAATGTGTTTTGGAAACATTCTGTAGATATACATCCATCAAATCTGCTTTTTTGAGATTCAAGCCTGAATATCATCCGCCAATATCAAAAACACGTAGAAAGAGTAGTTTTTATGTGAATCCACTGCTCAGGCATACTCATTAATGATATCTTTAGTCCGTTTTACAAAACTGATTTAATCAAATTTGTTTTGGAGACATTCTGTAGATATACATCCATCAAATCTGCTTTTTTGAGATTCAAGTTTTAATATTCGCCAATATCGAAAAACGAGCTAGATGTTTTTCGTTATTCGCCAATATCGAAAAACGAGTAGCTCGTTTTTCACCAATATCGAAAAACGAAAATCGAGCTAACTTCACACTGCCTTCCCATTAAAGGCCAGTGAAGACGGGCATACGCCTACTGTTATTTTGAATTCCATTTGTCAAGGGTTTTCTTACATGTAATCTAATCTGTAGACGGACCTTAGTTTTTGGTCCCATCCGAACGACCTGGCTCTTCCTACTGTTATTTTGAATTCCATTTGTCAAGGGTTTTCTTACGTGTAAGCTAATCTGTAGACGGACCTTAGTTTTTGGTCCCATCCGAACGACCTGACACTTCCTGAACCGCTGACAAGGGGAAACCTCGCCAGAAGTGCCCAAAGAATATTCTCGGCCACCACCGGTAGTGAACCTAAGACCTCCTGGTTGGCGAGCCAGTGTCTTACGCATTGAACCACCGCCGCACTTTATTCGAACGAATAATGATCGACATATTTAACTCTGGTGACGTTAACAACTAAAACTCATTGTCCCAATGCCAAAATTTCACACTGGAAAACGAAACATTATTTTACCGGCCCTGTGTTGAGCCTAGATTTGATGTAGTTTGTACAGAGTGGGCGTTACCACTACCCCCCTCCCCCCCCCCCCTGCTGTGCTGAAATATTGTAATCCGTCTGCCATCTGCGTTAGATTGGTGATAGAAAGAGTGCTGCAAATTCAAAGTTATGAGTCACGAACCAAATTGAAAATTACACCGATCATAATGTAATAGAGTTTTGAAAACTAAGTGCGGCAATTGTCAATGATTCGACAAATGGAAGTACGCAAACAATATCCTTGAGGGAAGTAAGACCTATGTGTAAAGGAACTAGATAATGTATATTGTTAATTGAAAATTATAGTAATAAAATACGTATAATAGAATACACTGCTCAATTCAACGCTGTAAGAGGATTTGGTTATTCCTGAAGTTCGGGATTAAAACTTGCTTGCATGAATACATTTTCTAATTTTCAGTCATATCTACCATACAAACACTGTTGATAGAAACGCGCATTATGAGAATCAAAACCAAGAGCGATTCACTCTTGCAGCAATTTTTCGGTTGGATTGCAATACACAATTTAAATTGGAAGACAGGATAAAAAAAGTAGTGTTACAGTACGTGGACTTACTGAATGGCGTTCCTATTACAAAGCCCACTGTCACGTGTACTATACACACCCCACTTCTATGATAACAATTAAGCTGAGCGAGTACAGAAACAGAAGTGTTTATGAAATATATCTATGATAATATTGTTTGTTAAAAGTCTCAATACACATTATAATTTGAGTCTCATCCTAACATGTACGGTTTTAGCACAAAATTTAATAGTACCCAATACATCACTTTGATTCTCAATACACCATGTATACATGAAATTAATAATTAAAGACTACAAGAATAATAATTAACGATGACCGTGGACCATGTATTCCAAATGGAATACTTTACATCTTTTTTAAGATGTGCACCTCGAGCTGTGTCTTTTAACGAATATATACCTTTCTCTGTAGGGTGTCTTTAGCTAAGTCACATTAATAAAACATTTCCTTAGAAATGCCAACTGTGTCAGTAGTGTGGGTTAACATATATAGTTATTGAAAAAGGTCAATATGTTTAACAAAAACAATTAGGTGTTTGATTGTTTTGCCATTTTATATCATACTAAATAGATATACACTCGCAAAAAGACGTTCTGTTAATCGGGTAGATAGATACCTTGTTGAGATTCTCCCATATACAAGAATCCAATTTTTCGTTTGTGAATAAAGTCATAGGGCATTTTTCTTTCACAAAAATTGATTGCAGCAAACGAATTACAAACCAATCTTGGAATAACCATAATTCGGTATTTAAAGAGTTCGTATATCACGGTGTTT